TTTGTTTCCTGCCAAACTTCTCTATGCATATTATTTTTATGGTTGATGTTTACCCTTAAATACTTGATATCTTCTACTTTCTCAAACATAAAATGCTCAACTTTTACATTTGTTATATCTTCCAAGTTTCATAGCATGAACTTAATAGTTAGTATGAAACTAAATTTAGTAATAAAAAAAAAAAAATGAATAGAATACGCTTTAAATATTTTTCACAAAAAAAAAAAATAATAAATAAATAAACAACATTAATAATGGTAATAAAATGTTATATTTTCTATGCAACCATTAAATTTACTCGGAAACTGTGAATTACAGCACGTATACATTTTCCTGGTAAAAAATAACCATTTTAACTATAATAATATAATATAATACGAGTAGTGCTAATTTCACCTTAATAATCTTAAAATATTATTATCGTTAAAATCGTGTATACTGTAGGTATGTTATTATTTGTACGAACAAGATAAATGCTATTACTTAAGTACTTAATAACACTTTATTCAAAATGGTAAGTATTATAAGTACACAAACTTTAAATAATGTATTATTTCAATAACTAAAATTTATATTTTGTATTATTTTCAGAAATGTACATGATATATAATTATTTATCTGTTAAATTTTCGTTAAACATTATGAATTTAATGTATTTTAACTAAATTCTGTTGATTTAAAATTAAATTATGTAACTTTTAGTTTTTGAAGATGTATTAATATAATTTATGCTATAAATAAAACTACTTATATGAATATTTTTTCTTGTTCAAATTTATAAAAAAATTTAAATCTAAATAAATAAATAAATAACTCAACAATAAAAATTTTACTTTTGCAGGTAATTATAAAATTCAAATAAATGTTAAATAATAACAAAGAAAATTGATTAATTTTTAATTTAAGAAAAATCCGTCAATTTTTAAACTTATTATACTTTAAATATATTAAATAAATAAAATTAATAAAATAATGAATTTATGTTCAGACACATTTTTAATTAACTGTTTATATTATGAAATCTTTTAAATATTATTGGAAATACAATATACACAATATTTAAATAAGAAGTTTTATAAAATTATCCTACCAAATTTTTAAACCAATATTTACTTTAAAAAGTGTACATAACTCAACTCAAAGTTCAAAAATTACTTTCTTGTTTTAAAAATAGTGTAAAAATTACAGACATATTTCATATTTATACACTATTAAAAAATTTAAGGAAATTTATTAAACAAAAAAACTACTACTTAAAAACATTTTGATTTATTTTTAAGGTTTGTCAAAACTTGATATTTGTTACAAAATAAAAGTTTTAATTTTAAATTAATTTAATTCGATATTAAAAAAATAATATTTTTATTTAGTTGTTTGAAATTAAAGTTTGTTTAAACTTAAAAACACAAATCTATATTTAATTTAATTATTTTCTAATTATTTTTTTTTTTTAAATTACCTAACTTTAATTAAAAATGTCGCTTTAGTCTTCAAACTAATTCTAAAATACTGTTTATGGTATCTATGTAATATAAAAATACTTTTTTTTTTTTGTATTCATGATATTATTAGTCGATATTTATGAGAGGAGGTGATAAAGAAAATTAACACCTCAGTTTTGAAATTAGCATTCTTATGTTATTTTAAATATTTTATAAATAAATGGGAAATTGTATTGCATATAATATGCAAGCACAAATAAGACCATTAAAACGGTTTGAATTTATATATTTGATTTTTTAATTTTATCGCTCATGTAATCTTACATACCAAATTTAAATCTTTAAGTAAGTCCAGAATTTCATAATGTATTTAGTGTGTAATTTTCTTACAGTTCAAAAAATAATGCGATTGTTTGCAGTTAATAACATATTATTAATTTACATGTATCGTGGCAGTTGGCAGTGTTAATAGCTACATTATATTCGGTAAATAGGTACATCTAAATTAAAGATAAATATAGTGTTTTCGATGTAGGTAATTTAAGTGATATTAATTATTGACACACTTACAACAAAACATAAAAGTACTCTAAAATATTATTATGTTTTAACAATGACAATACTATTAATTTGTGCTTTAGTTTTTCCCACACACACACACACACATGTATTATATAATTTAAAGTAACTAATTTACTTTTATTAATTTTTGCAAAAAATAAATTTTATTTAATAACATCGTTTTTTTTTTTTTTTTTGACATTAAATTGAATAAGATATTATACGCAAATTTTTCAAAACTTAAAGAAACTTAATATCTAGTAACTTACAGTGCCTTATATTACCATAGCAACGTAGTTTTTACATGGTTAAAATAATTATTTATCTACGTGGTACGGCTTTGACTATAATGAACGTACTATAGTCTATAAATAACATACGGAAATCACTTTCCATAGTAAATATGATAAATCAAAATTGGTGACATAATAACAACAAATGAATGATTATTTGGAGTACATAATCATTATTGTGGATAATAGAATTCATACTCGATAATTGACGAGTATATACGAAACAAAAATAAAACGGGAAATATGGAACTACATATTTCATATTATTATCAAATTTCTACATAAACAAACCGAGATCTATGCAACTCGACACTATGTAAATACTAAATAGTATCGAACAACTAATTAAATTTTTTTCTTTCAAGAAAAATTTCAAGAATACACTGCATTGTCTGCATTACGACAAGTTACAGAATAACAGAATATGTAACTATTTTGATTATTTGCGACGACAGACAAGTAAACAAATATTGTCGATATTTTGATGTGACGTGATGTCGTTGACGTCAGCGAGTGATGGAATACGACAAGAGGGACCGAAGGAAATTATATTATAATGCGACAGGTACAATACCAAAGGGTGTTTACCGTATACGTTTTGTAATAATATTTTAAAATTTACATGAATAACGGATTTCTCATACAAAACGCATACACAAACTATATTAATTATTCTACGATATGAATTAATAATATTTATTGAATATTTCCTACCATATTTTTAAGGACAATTTTAATTAATACTGTGGCTTACAATGTCATTCATGTTTTAAGGTTCTATTACTTATTTTAATTAAAACAATTTAATACCAACTGTAATGGAACCTAGCTACCAAAATGGCCAATTAGCATAAAGGTTAAAATATCAGATTTACACAGGATACCAAAATCATTGTGTAATTTAATTATCTTTTAGTTGTAACAAATTATTAGTTTAAAATTTTGATTATTGCACAAAATATATATTGTATATAATATTATAATATTCTAATTATTTGTTTATTATTATTATTATTATTTTTTTTATTTGTCAAATTTGATATAACGATCAATTATGATTAAACATGAAAAAAAAAAAAACATTGTTAACAATAACAATATACGTTGTAATTTCGATAAACTTATAAAGGAACTTTAATTTTTTTATTCATTATATTTGTATAACGTTTAAAATAATTCAAAGAACTAAAGATTGTAAATCTTCTAATAATCTACCAAATTTGATTTTAGATCAAAAAATACAAAATAAATTTATTACATATAGTTTAAAGTTACTATTAATTTAATTGATATCACTGTACTAAAATCTATATAATAATATAGGTATTATACAGACGCTCTCATTCATAGCCAGAAAAAAAAGTATTGTCAAAATTTGATTTTAGTTTTAAATTATCTGAAGGTTAAGTGAGCGACATCCTCACCCACGTATCCTCATTCCTTCACATATCACTTTACTTATTATATGTTGAGCTTATTTTGTACAGATTATAAATAAACATATTTTCAATTAAAAAATAAAAAGGTTAAAATGACTTTAAGTAAAACAAATATTGTGTATTTTTTTGTTAATATCGACGATGCAAACCTGTAGATACATACTATAACTATGCTTTTATAATGATTTTGTATTTAGTTCATCATATAATAATGGGACCACTACCTCACTAGCTAGAAAAAGATTCTTGATTATAGATCTTTTTTTACTAAAAAACTAAAAGCTTGTGAGAAGCTTTGTATTAGTTTTTCAATTATTTCTATCCGGCGAATATTTTTTAGTAAATAATTATTGAAAAAACCTAAAAAAAATTCTTGTATCTATAAAAAAATTCCAAAACAGTCGAAATATTTTGGATTTTTTTATCGTAAATAGAAAATAAAAACCCAAAAATTTTGTGAAAATATTGAGTAGTATATTTTTTGAATTATACCGAAAAAACAAGTTGATTTTTTGAAAATTGGATCTGTGAAAAAGTTTCCAATTTTTCTTAATTTTTATTTTGTTTTTCCTGATAATAATAACAAAAACGTTTTAATTTTAATCTCAGAAAACTAGATCTAATTTTTATCAGAAACAATTTATCTCTATTTTTGAAAATAAAATTGAAGCATTCTTACTGATGCAACAAATGATAACAAATAGATAAAAAAAAAGCATTATAAAATCAATACATTCGCCGTTTCACTCACAATCTAAATCCAAAAACTGATGTTCGTTTGATGTACAGTAGATTAGGTTAAGTGTATCATACCATTGTAATGGTGTCAAATTTGAATTCAATAATAAATATCTATACCAATATGAAAAACGATTCCGAGCAGAAACGATGTACCGCCATCTATCTCTTGAGATAATTTATATCAAAAATACATATCACTATAAAATTATTTATTTTTTGTTAGCTTATATCTAAAAAAACAATTTGACAATTTCAAATGCCAAGCCCCCCCCCAAAAAAAAAAAAAACCCAAAATACTTCTAAAATTACATCATGTCTATGGATGAATGCGTTAGTACAAACGTTTGGTTAAAATTTTTAGTTTCTATGATTGTTCCCCCTCCCGTCACCGCCAAGAATTCCGTGTATCCGACCTAAATACACCATGGGGTGGTGACAAAACGAAAATAGCTTAACGCAAATAAAAAACAAACAGACACCAGTCGTTTCCCACCAACGTTTCATAAATAGACGTGTAAATATACCTTGAATTCGTATGTCGTCGGGTCCATGTCGAGCAGCGAATAGTCGGCGATCCGATCGCCGTTCGCGTCGATATTGACGTCGCCGGTGATGCCGGTAAACGTCTTGTTCCACATAGCTTTGACGATGGCCATCCCGTCGGACTGGTTCCCACCCCTCGCTAGCGTCTCGTTAAGCGCCAGCCCATACAGTAACACCGCATCGTAAAATGCTGTTACGAACGTGGAAACAGATTCGTTGCCAAAAGTGTAGTTGTATTTTTTCTCGGCCACGTGTTTTACCTAAAAAGAAAAATGATCATTCCATTTAGAAGTCTTTGTCGTCATTTTTATAACTATTTGATTCCAACAAAAGTCCAATGAAAATGGATTATTATAGCATACACAATACGCGATTAATTGATATTATATCCAAAGATCATTGAGTCACGTGTCGTTTCAATAGCCTACTTATATTTTACTAAAGGGGAGAAAAAATCGGTGTCGATAGATACCGTTTCGATTATTATTCTACAAGTATACTTTAACAAAAGTACAGACACAAAAGTAAAGAAATGGGTAAGAATGTTTTAAATTCGGTACGCAAACTTTATGTCGTCGTATTATAAATTGAAAGACGCATGTCGTCCCAGAATATGTAGATAATATTCCTGTGCAACTTTGAAAAGTTTTAAATTACTTAATAATAATGACATTAAAAAAAAACTTCGTGGAATTCAAACATGTATTTCTTAATCAGTCTTAACAATTTAATTGGGACACATCATTTTTCGAGCTACGAATCTGTTGATATGTATTCGCTATAATATTTTTTTTTATTAATTATTCATTTATTTCTCACGCAAATCTCTATGCCAGTTATACATTGAATTGTTTTCGTAATAAAATTATCTTTCTCTCTTTTTCTCAAAATAAAAAAAAGACATTTGTTTGCAGTAATTTGTGTGTTTGAATACTACCAATGTAATTATGGTGTTGAGCTAATTGAATGAAATATATCAAAAATGAATAATACGTTGAATATATACAATGGAATTCTTTTGAATAGACTCTGTATAATAAAAAGTAAACCCAAATACTGCGCATAGAATAAAAAATAAACTAAATTGCATTACAAAGAGTAAAGTCCTCAAAATACTTAGAATGAACATGGCTTATTAGACGAAAGTCCCAGAGACTATGTATACTATATAATTACCTAACAATTATTATTATAAGGTTCCTACAGTAGGAACCTTATAATAATAATAGTAACTATAGATGACATTATTTTTTCGAGAAAAGCAATTTTACACTAACATTAGTGCTTCAACTAATAATTATTTGTCTTTAATATCCACTGATATAATAATAGTCAAAGGATTTTTGTTTTTATAACGATGGTATATACCTATTTTTAATTATCCTCTTTATCATATTTATATATATATATCAATAATTGTGCTATGTATAAGTAGGTACGTTTTATACAAATATTCAATTAGTATAATCATTAATCATACATTTAAGCTAAACAAATAATGTAGATCTACAAAACGTATATGCCACAATATAAAACATACGTATAAAAAAAATATCTATTTTTTTGGTTTTGCATATATGTATAATCATTTGTCACGGAAAATGTATATAAAATTTTAGTCGGTAGCGTGTATGTGCATCCAAACAACAACCCGATTTAGTAAAAATCTACAGAAAAGTATAAAGATTAACTATCTAATAAATATATGGAATAAAAAAAAAAAAAATGGTTTAATCCAATACGTGAGTATGCGAGGACTTAGTAAAGACATTATAATGAATGAGGGTAGAAAATAAATAAAACTGAAGCTTTTCTCACATTCAACACCTAAGTTTTCTTTTCACATAATACATATGGATTCGAAAACATACGTGTATGATCACTGAGAAGGAATGAGTTCATTCCAAATAAACTCACCGTTTATGACCCCGCGCCGTCTAATAATATGAATTGTATGATAATTTGTTTAGTGTTACAAAATATACATCAAGGTCTATATTTTTTTTTTCTATATGTATATATATATAATAACTTTCTATATTTTTATACTATAAATTATTCATTTTATCTTTTTGCATTATGGCTTAAAAATTATTTTAGCTTAATTAAAGATAATATTATGACATATTCATTTCATCACATCCTCCAAAAATGGAAATAATATTCAACTTGATCCATTCTTTACTGATTTGTATTAAAATATTAGGAATTTGTAAAAAATGTTTTTGATGTAGCCGAGTTGGTAATTAAATAATAATGATCAAGCGTATATTTTATAAGTACCTACCCTAAACAATAGATTACTTGTATTAAAAACGATTTAATTTTCAAAAAAAAAAAATGATGAAAAAAAATTACGAAATTCAACAAATTAACCAGAAAAGTAAATAAGTCATGAGTATAAAACAATGATTAATAAGAGGTATAAAAATATAAAATTGTAATATGTTGATATGTTGATATTTTCTGAGAAAAATGAATACATTTGTTTCAGTTATAAATTACAATAAAATGTATATTGTTTTATTTTATTGATGGTATGCATGCAAATAACTATTTAGTTCAGGAATTGTTCATTTCAGTATTTTTAATTATTTATGTAGATTATATTTTAGTAAAATGAATATCTACCTAAATTTTAATATGATTAATGTAACAAAATCCGTAGTTGTAGGTATTGAATTTTTTATTCACAAAATAATTTTTACCAAAAATACTGATCCAAACCTTTTTTTTTTTTTTTAAATAAAAACAAATCGTTTTATTGTAAATTGTAAAACAGATTTTTTTTAAATATCGATGCATTTAAATAAAAATATAAACGTGTAATTTCTGAATTATTAATATTTTTGTAATAAAATATACAAAGGTGTAAAACAGTTATAATATTTAGTCTTGTATTTATTATATTTAGTCAATTTTTACGAGTTATAAAATACCATACGTATATGTAATCCGTATATTAGTATAAATTCTAAATCATTATATCCCCATATCGTTAAACCCTATTACTGACTACCATGAACTTAGTATATAGATTTTAATAATTAACAGATGACATGTTCGATTTTTGATTTATATACAATTCAACATTTAACGTGGTTTTCATTTTGAAGAATTATGAAGTTTGTTTCATAGCCCACTAGACACTACTTTTAAAACGGTATAAAAAAAATCGAAATAAATGAAAACATGGTATACAATTTTACCCGAAGATTTTAAAAATCAGAATTTCTTTATTATATATTATTAAAAAAAAAAAAAAAATAATAATACCTAATGAACTCTGGTGTATATAATAATTTCTACGCGGTTATAAATATTTTTGATATTCCGGATGATATATACGACCGTCGTTTTGGGTCACATAAGTCATTTTACAAAACAAAAGGCCCGTCTAACTTAACGCTCATAACCTAACAGAGCGGTAGCGAATTGTCGCGATAAGGTAAACTGATTGATTTATGGCCGACCCAAACATACAAATAATATAATATAAAACTATGTGTTTTAAATGTGGAATAAAAATAATTTTAAAAAACCCATCATGCATCAAATAATGCCGGTGTAATAAAAATTGAAATGTTTTTTTTTTCTCGCCGCTTTTTTTTTACTTACCTCGACAGAAAAGTTGCGATACGCCTCGTTGTTAGGCGTACGTGCCGTCACCGTAAGCAGTGCGCTGTACGCTTTTTTCGCCCGCTCGTTTCGCTCTGCTGTATCGTTGCCCACGTACCATGGTGTTAAGGATCCGTTGTTCAGGCTGCGGAGAGGACACACAAACATTTACAAAAAATTAATAAATAATAAAAATAAACATTTTACACAAAATTATGCGGATGGTCTCTTGGCTTTTACGTTGAGTAAGTAAAAAGGCAATTTGAAGTAGCTTGAACACAGGTCTTCGTCAGACGTATATTCGTGAAAATTACAGACTATTAAGACTACTCTTAACAAACCTACTACAAATGTAGGTATACGATATTATATACATAATATAAATGTTATATACATACACATTATATATATATATATCAAAACGTGGTGTTGAAGACGAGGAACAGATGCAGCAGCGGCTGTAACCCGTCGCACACCCACGCCACCCTTTCGCCAAGATAATTTTTACAACGAATTATCTCTCACACTACGTTAGACTATAATAATGTTCATAATATTAAAGTAATAATTGTTTAATAACGGTCATTTTTTTTCATTGTGTTGTTATAAAATTGTGCATCTATTAAGTTCAATTATGAATTTTCAACGTATATTGTTTATACCGTCATAACAAAATCGACTTGATAATATAATTATTACGTATATTATATTTGCCTGTAACGAACCGCGCAAAGAATAACTGCATTTATCATATACTCGTACTTTAATATTAAAATAAAATTAAAACTATTGTTAACGAAGTATTTACTAAGTATTTAACATCGAGAAAATGACACAAATTCTGAATTAGATCATTATACAAATGAAACTAAAATCGAAATGTTGATTTATGAACATTATTAAAACGCCGCGATGAGCATTATTTATTTTTTAAGAATTAGATTTCAACCTCTTACCATATACGTAAAGAATAAAAACGAAAAATTGAAGTGACTGTAGATAAAATTTCATTAAATAAAATGTAGGAAAAAAAAGGGTTGTCAAAAATCCAACGTCATAGTCCATATAGACCCGAGTTGTATTGAACTATATTTGTTCCTGTATACTCTTATACCCGTAAAACATACACATACTATTAAATTTAAATGGAAAAAAGACGCTTTGACATTACGTTATATACTTTTGGGAAAACTCGTAGGATGTTCATTTTAGGGTAGCATTACAAGCTGCTTTAAAGTAATACGATAAAGCCTTTCTCGTCCTTTGTACACTGTAACATACGACGTGTGAAATATCAATATGGAATTCCCGATAAAAAAAAATAAAAATCCCGTAAATGTCAATTTAAATATTTCCACGAATGATATATTTTTATAACGTGTTTAGAAGTACCTTTTTAACTAATAGAAAAAAAAGGTAACTCACCCGGAATATTCTTATCAAACAAATTATTTTGCAAAACCGTATATTTAGTACCTACTTACTATATAGATTGTAAAAAAAAAACTCAAACTGTCTTTCCCACATTTGAATCTATTAACATTAAAATACGATTAAACTGAATAATAAAATTACACACATTTCATTTTATCATTTCTAAATTTAAAACACAATATTATAATCGTCTATAGAAATTATATAATTTTTTTCTTCAACTAGTATCATTATATTAACACTTACATTAAATTCAAGAAAAAAAAGGGGAGAAAAAATTTAATTTTCAATTAAGTAATTATTAGATATTTATTCACATTGCCATAATTTTTAACTATATTAGATTTAATATTTAAGTTTGTGGATGTAAAGTTGTTGTGTTGTTCTAATAGTTATTGGATTTACTTTCAATCTCTGTTTGGTTCGATTCGGCTTACTTGAACATTTTGTTTGTTATTCATGTAATATTATTTTTAACACCCATCGATTTTAATTTAGGTCTTATTAATTCTAGAATTTCGCTCGTTAGCATATTTTAGATTCCGTATTGTGTCGTGACTTCCAATGAGGATGAACGACCTTGAATATTTTCGATAGGGCGTTTAAATTGCTCAAACGTTAATGGTATTTTATTATTATTATATGTTAATATTGCTAGTTCTAGTAGTTCATTTATATTTCTTGAGAATTTGCTTTTTTTCTTTTCTGTGCCTTAAAACTATTATTTGTTAGTTCATTTTTATACTCAGTGCATTTTCGTTTTTTATTTTCCCGTTACTTTGTGAATCAGAAATATGAACTGTCGAATAGGTTTTTCTTTTAAGCAATTCCTGATTGTCATAGGTCTTATTATTTTATCACGTTCGCGGGCTAATTGTGTGTAATCCTTGTTATTCTGTTAGTTGGAAATTTAGGCAATTTGACTAATTGGAAGTGTGTTATTATTATCAGTAGCTTTATTTTTTATTTTATTACTGGTAAGATCATTATCTGTATATGACTTAGCTTTCACGTTGTCTATTTGAGTGACTTTATAAATTGTTTTTATAACGTTTTTATCATTTAATTTTACTGCGACAGTTTTGTCGGCTAATTCATTGAGAGAGTACCTTGAAAAATATAATATTTCTAATAATACACAATACATGCTAATTTATCGTCTGTTATAAATATTCGATAATTCGTATTACCGTGAGTGATTACTAATGAATTTGGTTGTTTTTCAAATTCTTCCAATATTATGTATATTCGTCTACGATAGCTTAGGATATGCTAATTCTGAGAAATGAGAAATGATTGATAACTTCGTATTTTAATTGGAGTTTCGTTAATGTATATAATTTTAGGATTGTTAATTAATTAATCGAGTCAATTTTTATTTAATAATAAAATACAAAGTCTACTATTTTATGCATGGTATAAAGATAATATTTTTTGGTGAAATAATTTAAGCTATGACCATTATACAATCTTTCTGGTTGATTGTGTTTACATTATCTTTAATCTTAATTATTATACCATGATTTATTTTGGGGAGGCTGATTTTGGCTGTAGTTGTGGCAAAGAACTGTGTTATTATGTTCATTTGTTGGGATTTCTACGCTTGTTACGTTGAGTCGTGACTTATTGCACTCTATATTAATTTTATTTATTGGACTTAGTTACTTAGAACTTATGTTGCTTAGTTATTTTTAATTTCATAGATTCGTTTGTACTTTTGGCGATAGATATTGTAGTGGTAGTTTTATTTTTTGTGTTTTTGGTGATTAAGTAATTTGGAGGCTAATATTTTTATCTTGGATGATCCTTTAGGGGATTTAGAACAATTCATTTTCCTCCCTTCTTCCAATTACTATCTAACTAGAATAATTTAGAAGCCTCCCATAACTAATTCTCATAAGTTGTTAACTGAAATGCAATATTTTAAACTTTGCAAATGCGCTTTTTGAATAAACGACTGTAAGATAAACACATATATATTGTTGGTTAAATATATATTGTACTATAATATTATTAAAGTATAAATTCTAATAAGTTACACGGGTGGTACTTTTTATAAAAAATTTTAATTAGAATTGATTAAAAAATTTAAAATATGGTGTGTTATTATTTAAATCAATTTCAAAATGTAGTTATTTTTCTATAAATAATAAACAAATTTAAAAATAATTTACTTGAATAAAAAATAAAGAAAAATAATTCGGTTTATGATAACTAAGTTTTTATTGAATAATATGCTAAAATATATGTTTACAATTTTAAACTATGTAATTTATATTTTATAATATGTGATTCATACTTAACAAAACTAAAAAATTCCCTAAGACACCACGTTTGATATTTTATGAAACTCAAATTTAAGTACCCACTAAATTTTGTAAATCTCCCTATCAATAACTCTACATAATATATAAATATGTTATAAAAGTAATTAATACAAGTAATTATTGTTTATCAATTCTTGATATATTTTAAATAATTATTGTCATCATATTATATTCAATATAGCTACTTTGATGTTAGTTTATTATACATTTTTATTTATTAAACGGCAAAAAAAAAAAAACAAAATATACACGAATCAACAAAGCTGCGTGCGGCTTGAATAATAATAGATATAATAACAGAATACGACTGCATACAAAATAATGTATACGTATAAAAAGAATGAAGAAACACTATGGCAATATTTGTAAATAAGAAAATTTATTTTTTTTCATTTATATCACCAAATTAGTTTAATAGATATAAGTTTACGCATTATTCGCTATCATATATTAAAATAAACATTGACTGTGGGCTTGAGTTTTAATGAGATTTTCGTTATTCGCGTTTTTGGGCAATATAGAGTATAGACACAGAAACTTACAGAAACTAATAAACACATGCGTTTAAATTATTGTTTCACCGTGTTTTTAAGCCCCCGGTCGACATACGATGGCTAAGTTAAAATGTGGGTCCCAATTATTTCGCTCTATGTTTTTTTTTTTTTGCAACCGTAATCCAATGGACCCGCTGTCATGTGTTTGAAAGAATAAAAGTAAACATTGGAGTAAGAAAGAAAACAATGGAAAAAAAAATAAAAATAGTGAAAAAGGTTTCGCGCCATCAACGTTCTTAATACAAATGTCGTACTCGCTTCTAGCTTAACCAATACCACGATATAATATAGGGGATTTTGTAACACAATAAAATAAAAATTAATAATAAACCCATTTTTCCAGCATTATTACCTACTTAATATGCATTGTTTCTATCACAACTTATTTCGTTAAAATATAATACGTCATAACAATTAAAAATATATGTGATCCAAATAATATGTTATACTTATTATATTTTTAATAGTATTATTTGAACACAAATATCTGCAAATTATAGAAGACACTTCAAGATAGTATAATACAACACAATAAACTATTTTAATACAAATGTACTTGAGCATATGTTTAACTATAAACAATCTTGTGTAGTTATTTTTTAGTTTTTTATTACATAAACTGAAAATATTATAAATTATCACTTGAAAGGGTTTGATTTGTGAGTTTTTTCACCCGAAACTTATGTAATTTTGCATTAGTTTTAATTGAATCACTGATTTACATTATAAATAAAGCAATTTAAAAAAATAAAAATGATAAAATATGTTTTTAATCTATAAAATTGATTGAACCCAATTTAATGGCCGTATATAGAATAAATTTATTTATT